AAATAAGTATCTTAACCTCTATTAGTTAGTGATAGTGGTGGGATTTTTTTCAACTTTGTGTTATTAATGTTTGGATTCATTTCAGATTTAGTAGTTAACACAGTGTATAACTCTATTATATGAAATTTAACTAGCATGTAGAATTTTAGTTCAAAGACAAGTAATATCTCAGGGATTTTGTATTCTAAAGTAGTTAATATTTGCTCAAAGAGTTGATTTGTTTGCAACAGAAAGTGCTTTTGTTGGAAATAATAGTAATAGAATAGTAAATATTCAATGCTTATAATATTTAGATAACAACATGGGCAAGTTCACTGAACATAGCTCCACAAGTTTATGACATCTGTTGACATCTATATTAATTTTTTTTTTATTCATTCTGGAATTAATTACATGTAGCATATTTTCATGTATCTTGTACGCTGTTCCACTTGTGTATCTTTCACACGTGAACATAATTAGTATAATTGAGGGTGGATTAAATGTATTTAGACATTTAAAATACATTGTTAAAGTGAAAACAGCAATCAGTAATCTTGTTAGATTAATTATAGTAATTGAGTTCATGGACTATATGTATGGAAAGATGACTAAATTAAGCTAAAAGAATTTATGCATTTGGAATTGATTGTATTTGAATATAAGGGTTTGAAAATCAACCGAGTTCTTCCTACATAGGGAGTAAATTTTTAAAACTTGCCAAAATACTTTTTATAATACCTCTATTCATTTGGTGTCTTAGAACTGCCAGTCATTTTTTTTTCAGAATAATGATTTGGGAATATCTGTAATTAATAAATTATGAATTATGTTTGGTGTGTAGAGAAAGAATATCTAAATATTTAGTTTTAAAAAATATTTACAAATAGGTTCCAGTTGATACTTTGGGAGTTAGCAGTAACTTTTTTTTAAAGTATGTACTATTTCTCAGTACATTATTGCAGAAGGCAAGTCCCAGGCTCAAATATTTCTATGAGCAGCTTTCTATTGCAAATGCATTATTTTTGTGAATGATCTTGCTTAGCTCTTTAATTTCTTTTCAATCAATTTAACTGCAGATTTTGAAGGGTATTGGGAAGTTCTGTCCTGTATTGAGTTTTGTATTTTATGCATTTCTTTTTCTAATATTATTGAGTAAGATGCCACCTCTTTTCAGTAAAATTTGTTACTTTCAGCTTTACAATTGTAATAGTCCTTAAAATGTTATTTAATATTATTTATTTTTCCTTTGGTTATTTTATGATTTTTAAACATATACTGTACTTAACAAAAAGGATTAAACAGCATTTATAACATTTGAGCTGCGGCAAGGCAAAACCTTTGTTACATATATTGTCAGTCATCCAGTTGATGTAATATTTGATCTATTTTGATCAGAATTGCAAATAATTGATCACATTTGGTAGTGGTGGCTTTGCCTCTCTACAATTTGATATTTCAATACGAAATAGGGTTAACATGAACAACAGGGGCAGCTTTGTGTGGGTAATATACAGTTAAAATTTGTATAGGGAAGGTCTTGAGATATATTTGACCATTTCTCTGAGAGGACTGTTTCCAAGGTGTGTTTAACCCTTTCACTGCAGCTGGGACATATTTCCCACTGCACTGGGAAATATACATCCAAGCTGCAGTGAATGGGTTAAGTATTTGGAGTCATTTGATAGTTTTTGATATATCTCCCAAGAGCATTTTGTGTATGCTCTATGAGATTGAACCCAATTTATGTGCAGGCATTCCATCAGCCTCTCTTCTTCTTTTTTCTTTTTTTTTAAGGAATTTATCAAACATTTTAGCATGAAAGAGCAAGCATTATCATCCATTTAGCTGAAGTGAGGGCCAGTTACACTAATATTATTTATGGATCATAGGATTTGTCCTTATATTGTGTTTTATTCATGGTACCATTTTGCAGGATATAGTTATTAGCATGTCTACCAATGCTAATTAGATTATGCTACCCAGGGGCACAGATGTAGGATACAACCAACAGAACAGGAGATGTAATAAAGGGAGCTAGCAGAGATGCAGTTTTTGTTGTACATGTAGGGGCTAATGATGTAGGGAAATGTAGGTCATAGGAGCTAGTTAATAAGTAATGTCCCCCAGTGGAACAGCGGTAAGTCTAAAGATCTACAGTGCTAAAATCTGGGATTGATTCCCTGTTGTGGACACAGCAGGTAGCCCAATGTGGCTTTACTCTAAAAGAAATAAATTAATAAGTACAAAGGGTTGATAAAGGCATTTTAAGAAAAAGGCCATAACTTTATTTTGTCAAGGATAGTGTCCAGAATTAACTGTGGGGATGAAGTTTTAAATAGGTCACTAGAACTACGTGCTAGGCTTAGGTTAGTATGTGAGGATGAGCAGATTGGCTGGTGGAACTTGTGGGATCAGTTCAATGGAAGAATGGAGCTTTTTGGAATGAATGGTTTACATTTAAATAGGATAGGGGCTGGCTTATTTGCTAGGGATATTAACTCAGCTATAAGAGAAGTTTTAAACTAGAACTAGACAGTGATGAGGCCCAGGATAAACTAAATGCAAAAAGCATAAGAGGCAGAGAAACATTTAGCATAGGAAATTGGTATAGAAGTAGTTGTAAAGTTGAAGGTTGATAAAGGAAGGCTTGTATCTGATCAGTATGAGATGGCTGGGTTATTAAATTTTGCTTTTTCTAATGAAGATTTAAGCAGTATTCTACAACTTAAACAGTTGATAGATGGAAACAAGATTGAACAAGATTACTCCATTAATTCTGAGCCTGTTAAGAAAAAATTGGGAAGTAAAGAATGATAAAGCTCCTGGGCCAGATAATATTTCCCCAGGGGTTTTGAAGGAGGCTAAGGATTGTATATGTGAACCACTTGCTACTATTTTTTGTCAGTACTTGAATAGTGGGCAGGTACCAGAGGATTGGAAGTTACCTAATGTAACTACTCTTTTTAAGGGAGGTGGTGAAAATTGTCACAGTAATTATAGGACCATTAGTCTAACATCAATTGTGGGAAAAGTTATGGAAAGTCTGATGAAAGATGCTTTGTAAAGCCAGTTAACAAAGTTTAGAATTTTATTGGCTAGTCAACATGACTTCACTAAGGGAAAATCTTGCCTTACAAATCTTTTGACATTCTTTGAAAAGTTTACTGTTTATGTAGATGAGGGTAAGGGTGTAGATTTGGTATATCCAGATTTTCAGAAAGCATTTGACAAAGTGCTACATAAAAAGCTTGTAAAAAAAAAGTATCTAAATGTGGGGGAGCAAATAGAATAGAAGAGTGGCTGGATGGAAGAAAGCAGAAGATTGGTACAAAGTTTGTTCAGTCAAACTGGGTTGATGTTACAAGTGGAGTACCTCAGGGCTCCTCTTAGGACCTTTGCTCTTTTTGATTTACATCAATGACATAGATGAATGAATGATCAATAAATTACTTAAATTTGCAGATGATATTAAGGTCTTGGGTTTTGCTTACTGTGAAGAGGATGCTGCTGATTTACAAATGGATTTAGATCATTTAGTGAGTTAGTAAATAAATGGCAAATGGCTTTAATAAATGCAAGATAATGCATGAGGATTATCATAATTTGAATTGTAAGTATAATTTGGATGGGAATAAGCTTAACAGTGTCATGAAAGAAAGGAATTTTGGTGTAATAGTTGATCAGTCTCTTAACTCTTTCACCACAGGCTTGGTCCCTGGGACAGACCTCATAGCCATTTTGTACTTGTTATAGTTTTCATCCTATAACTTTTAAAGTAGAAAGCATATGTTCACAAAATTTGGCATATTATCAGTAAACATTACAAGGCTTTCATATACAAAATATCAATTTTTTTTTTTAACAAGTCTTTACATTTTTTAAGCAATGTTTTTATCATGCCTTTTTTCTTTTTGCATGTTGCCTATCCAACATGCAAAGTAATTTTCATTTTAAGAATAAAAATACTTTTATGCATCAGAAAATTTTCATATTTCACTTGCAAAATCTTTATAATGTCCAGATAGTTATCAAATGTTTCTTAAGAAAAAACTATATTTTATCTTATTTTCGCTAATGAACCTCTGTATGGGTTTGGTCAATTTGGCCAATCTTGTAACCACCATAAAAAATTAGGAAATAAATATAAATTATGTATTTTTTGTTCTAGAATGACTATAAATTATAACACAAAAACAAATGTTTGGACTAAATTGCTTAAATCTCATAACATTATACATTTATATATATTTATTTTTATTATATTGACCTTTCAGTCATGCTTAGTTAACGTTAACAATACAGAAGTTACAATGGTGTGGCAAACATGGACTCATGTTACTGTATCCAATAATTTAAAAGTGACATTTAGTCATTACAAAGTGACCTGTCTTCGTTGTGTTTTAGTGGATAAGTGTTTTATAAAATATAGTCACATTTTAGTTAATACATTATATACATTGTTACTATTTACAAATAAGTTCTTAAATTTAAGTAATTTTTCTTAAAACATAGAACAGTAAATAAAGAAGTAAAGCAAATAATTATCTCTTCTAGTTATGAACTTTGTACTCGTTTATTGCTTGTCGTAAGTTGCTAAGCCTTATAAAATTTTGCACATGGAGGATGTGGGAAAAAAAAATTTTTTGGTTTTATATATACATTTGAAATAACTAAAAATCATAAATATGTAACAGCTCCCATGGACTGGTTGGTGAGTACAGTCATTTTGCATTTTTCAAATGTGAGGGACCAGTATACATGAATGATGTATCTACTTGGTGGTCATGGGAATTAAAATGGTTTATAATTATATTCTCAGTATTTCTTCCTTTTATTGTAAACTGCAATTTATGATAGTAGTTTTATTATTCAAATTTGTAATAATGGACTTTTTAATTCTATGTTAATTTTTTTAATAAACTTGTTTGTGTGTGTGTGTATAAAAGTTTGTAATTAGCACTACCAGCTTGCAGAAACTTCTTTTTCCTAATATTATTTATATTATTTAATTTACATAGGGAACAACCCATCTTTACAACCAAAGCCCATGTCTTCCACATTGATCCTAAAACCAAGAGGTCCTGGATCCCTGCAAGTAGTCAGGCTGTTAATGTTAGCTTCTTCTTTGACAGCACAAGAAATCTCTATCGCATAATAAGTGTTGAAGGAACCAAGGTAATTTTTCTATGTTACGTAGGGGTAAAAAAAAAAATAATTTATATCAAACAAACTGCTGAGTAAGATAGAGAGATTAAAATATACTCAAAATCTTAATATTAGTTTTACTAATAAATATATGCAAGTAACAATCTTCAATAGGAAAGTAATACTTGGATAGCCAAAATATTACTTGAATATACAGAAATGTACTGTGTTTTTCATGTGATATTTTGATATACTTCGGGAACTCTCTTTACAAAGTAATAATACATTTATCCTTCACTTATAAAATATATTTCTGTATTTCTGTTTTGAATGACATTTTCCAAACTGTGTACAGTTCAGTGCACTAACATTTGCACTGCCTTTGTTCCAGTTTTCAGTAGCTGTAGAGCTTAATTTTCCTGCCATCTTTGACTTTTTCTTACCCATCTCCTTCATTACCTATTTTCATTACCTTTCTTCATTTCCTCTCTGAAGCCCTACATTATGATCTGGAAAGATTTTTTGGGGATCTATAGTTGGTACTTTTCAATACCTTGGCTAGGGTTATCTGTTATGCTTTGTCCCTTCTTACTTGGTTTCTGTATTGTAGGGCCTTTTGAGATGTGAGGCTCCAATCTCTGTTGTTTATCTTCCCTACTGTTAACTCACTGACCTCTGTCTGGCTCCTTTTCTTCACCTGAAATTTTCAGGGGTTTTCCTAATTTCTTGGGCTGAAGCTACCCAACACCAGTCCTCTCTTTTCTCCTTGGTTTCTTATTATTCCCACCCTTGGGACGAGTGCATGTGAGGCTTTTTCAATAGACTTTGAGCATCCAGTGTAATATTTGCAATACTCTGTCCTTTCTTGTGATGCTACCACCTTCTATTCTCAAGGATCTGTTTTGGTTGCTGGATTGTGCAAACACTATGGTTTGCATTACATTGCCACTCCCATGTCTGGATCTCCATTTTTTTACAAATACATCTTTTGTGGGTTGGACTCATTTGTGGATAACTTGACAGCTTTAGGGGTTTGATGTCATGTGAAACGTATTTTCCACATAAACTTACTGGAACTCTTGGCCACCCATTTGACATGTTCCAATTTTCTACCTTGACTTGTGGATCACATGGTTATGATTTTATAGTTGTATCCCATACAAGTCATCATGGTGGGACTTGCTGCAGGGACCTTTGCTTCTACATATTATATTTTCTATTTTGGGCCCACGTGCAGTGGGTTTGGCTACCTGCCTCTTTTGTCACAGGGACTTTGAACTTAGTGGTGGATCATCTCTTTTGACTGGGCAGGATTCTTCATATGGAGTGGTAACTCCACCCTCAGTTCATTTGTTGGATATTTTCCCAGTTGGACATGCCAATGATTAATACCTTTACCACTCCTTTCAGTTCTAAACTTCTCCTCTTATTGTCACCATTATCTCACCCAACTGCTCTGGCTATGGAAGCTCTCAACCAGGATTGGTCTCATCTCTCTCTGTATGTATACACTTAGCTACAACCTCATATGTATCTCTTTTTCCAGGGAGTATTGTCCTTTTGTCACCACATGTGAGGTTTGTGTGGTTCGTTGCTAATTACTCAAGTATCACTAACTGTGTTGTCCCACTTACCTTGTTTATGTTTCCCTTCTACTCTCTCTGTCTATCAATGACAGTCCACAAGGTGGACTGATATGGCCAAGTGTGAAGATAGTTTTGAATAATTGACAGATTTACTAATACATGAACAGCTTATGATCATGTACTCCACTGACATGTCATTGTTCCTAAAAGAGAGAGCACTGAAAGATGTGGACGAGATGATCAAGCTGGCAGAACAGTATGATTGGTAAATCCAAGAATAACCAGTTAAGATCGAAACCAGGGGTGGCTGACCAGAAGCAGGATGCCACCAAGGGTGACAAGAAGTCAACAGACAAAAGGGAGAAGAGATGCTATGTTTTTTATAAAACAGGGCACATTATGAATAAGTGAATGTCTGTCACCAACAAGCAACAGCAGAAATCTCAACATAAGCAGCTGGAGCTTCTTACAAAGATGGTGCTAGCAAGAAACAATAAATGAGTGACTGTACCATAGATGGTGCTGCCAGAAGAAACAGAATAGAGATGCCTAGTCAGATTCACTACAAGAAAGATCTGCTATTGTCATGATTAAATAGTGCATGATTGATGGTCAGCTCAAGTTAGCAAACAGTTTAATAGTGCCAGTGGTGATTGGAGTATGTGACACACAAACCACAACATACCATTTGGTGAAGGCTATATTGGAGACAAAAAAGTGGGAGTCCTATGAGACACTGGGTGCAGCATTGCAGCAGTGAGAACCAGTCTTGTATCTGATGATAAAATGGCAGGCAAGGTACATCTTTGTGCTGATTGATGGAGCAGTGAGAAAGTTTCTCATAGCAAGAATAAAGGTGGACACTCCATACTACATGGGAGACCTTGAGGCTATATGTATGAAGGTACCCGTTTTTGACTTGGTGATTGGCAGTATACCAGGCTGTAGAAGTTTGGAGGAACCAGAAAGAAAGGAGACTGATGATGCATCTGCAGTAACCACAAGAGCTCAAGAAAAGAAAAGGCAGCAAGACATAAAGCCCCTGCAAGTCTCAAAAGGTAACATCCGAAATGAAGGTCTAAGGGAACTGAAGGAAACATACAAGAAACACACTTCACTGCAGAAACTTTGTGACATTACCTGGGAAAAAGTTGAGAACAAGACAAAGGAGAAAGGGACTTACAGAATAGAGGATTAGAAGGGAGTGCTGTATAAGTCTATCAAGGCAGCTCTCCTGAGGAAGTTAAAGATCGTAGTACCAACAGAATATTGGACTCAAGTGGTGCACTTGGATTACAAGTCAATTGTGGAGGACATCTAGAAGTGAAGAAGATGGCAGACAGTATCACCAGCAACTTCCATTGGCCATGGAAATCTGCAGGTCATGTTACATCTGTAAAAGGACAGTACCAAGAGAGAAGGTAGCTAAGGTGTCACTGTGTGAGATGCCTCTCATAAAAGAGCTGCACAGCAGAGTAGCTGTGGACTTGATTGAACCATTGGCACTGTACCTGACAAGGGCAACTAGTACATGTAGACAGGAGTTGACTATACAACATGTTACCCAGAGGGCATAGTATTGCTGAAGATAGAAATGGAGAGAGTAGCAGAAACCCTCCTGGAAGTGCTTTTGGAGATATATTGCACATGGAGGATGTGTTTCTCTCCCATTGGAAGAGGGTTATTGTTATATGAAATTACATCACACAAAAAGGCAGTTCACGATAAAGCAGGTCTTTTCCTAGCTTTTTTGTTATCTTTCATAAATACCTATTTAAAAGTTATAAGGCTTTATCTTTTCTACTCTTTCAGCTTCATTCTTGTTTAGTTTTCTCTTTCTTATAGAACTTGTTCCATTTCTTTATAGTGGCTGAACTTCATTTTCACTTCCTGATATATTTTGGAAGTTTACTTGACTGTTTCACCATCTTTTTAATGGGTGAGGATATGAAAGAGTTTTGATAAGTTTCTTAGGTTATTTCTCGTATTCAAGTTAATTTTTTGCTTTTTATGTAGCTGAATTTTTGACTTTCACATTTTTTAGTAAAATATCTTCAAATGATAAATGTAAACTACCTGTTCTTGACATGGGAATATCAAAGTTGTGGTTGTGAAAAGATGAAGCTTTAGCTAAGTTGTTTGACCTTGAGAATTTTATGATGAAAGATTATAAACTGCTACTCTGAAAAGATTTTAGAGTTTGTTGCTAAACTTTAAGAAACCAAGAGCTTGACAAAAAGAAAAACTGTGAAGTTCGTTGTGGATAATGAGTTGGGTGAAGCTATATTTCTGTGGTTTACAAAGAACAGGTTACAAGGTTGTCCCACATCAGGGCTAATGTTGATTGGTAAGGCTGTCAAGCTACATAGAAATCTTCTTGATAATTACAGTTTTAAAGCCAATACAGGATGGCTGAAACATTTTGTTAGTAGACATATGATTCATTGGCTGTCTCTGAGAAGATGAGTGCTGACATAACACAAATTAACAGTTTGCAGTCCCAATTTTTAGGCCTTGTGAGTGAGGGCAGAATTTTTTGTAGGGATGAAGGTTTCATCTGTGACAAAATGGTTTTGTTTTGGAAAGTACTTCCACGAAATACTCTGACATCAAGAAATGAAAAGTTTGCACCAAGTCATAAAATGTAAAAAAAAGGAAAACTAAGTGTTTGACCACAAGAAATGCATCTTGGGACTGCCATTTAATTCTGATAGTGATTGGTAAGTCAAATAACCCAAATGTTTGAAATGATATTCTGACAGGAAATTTACTTTTTTTTTTATGACAACCTTAACTATCCTAGATGTCACTTGACCTTTTCATTAATTGGTTTAAAAATGTCTTTGTACTTTTCTCTTGCAAGTATCTAGGTGGCTAAAAGCAGGAACCAAATATATTATTCCTTTTAGGCAATACTCCTTCACACACACCCACAAATACTATAGAATCAGATAAGGATTTGATAAAATGCTTCTTCTCTCCTTCACATCAAATATTACATTACTCATCTAGTTAGTCCCTGAAGAGATGATACAGGTAGCACTTGCTTCAGCAGTTCCTTCTTTTGAATAATGAGGCCAGTGTTCTCTATTGCTCTAAGAAGTTGACCATCAAGGAGACCATCTGTTGGATAAATTATCCATGGAATGAAATCAAGCCATCTACTGTAGTTTGCTTAGGCAAGAAGATGTGACTTGCAGAGTCATAAAATGATGAAACAGCTGCAGATGTCTCATATGAAAGCCTTATAAATTCTGCCCTGGCAATACCAGGAAATGAAACAATAGAGAATGGATCAACAGTGAAGCTACTAATCTTTGTCTTCAGCAGCTCTTTCACGATGGTGTTGTGACTGTCATAAATCCAACATCAGTGAGTGATGAGATTGAAAGTGATAATTAAAACTTTGTTAAAGATCACTTGCATAGAAAAGCAGAGAACGTGTTTTTAAGTACCTTTTGCGAGATGAGCATTAGCTAGTGCTTGAAGCAACTCAGTTGTTGTACTTACAATGAATCACACACTGCTGTCACTAAAAGAAAAAATACATTTAGAAAATCATCAATCAAAAATTTTTTCTAATAATTGGGTTGTCATTATAATAAAGCTGAACCTGTTATCTCCTTATACCCTCATTGTAATGTATTTTTTGTTTGCATTTGTAACTTCGTTGTCAATATCCACTAATTATATCAGTGCATTTTTTATTGAATTTTTTTCAGTTTTAAGCTTTCTCTTTTTTGTCTTAGTGTGTTTCTATTGCTTATTTCATCATTCATAAGCTTTAACTTTTGATTTTCTTTTTATTATTTGTATTAATTACAGCCTTTAACTTTTTATCTTCTTTGTGTGTGTGCATATTTGTTTTCATTGATTATAAGATTTAAACTTAGATTTTCATTGTATTGATTTTTCTGTCAGTTTTAAGCTGAAACTTTTGATATTCATTCTTGTTATTGCTTTTTCTCATATTATTTTATTAACTTTGATGAAAGTGTTTGATTTTATATACAATTCAGTTTCATATACCTGCTTCCTCCCAAGAAGCATGTAAAAATCAATGTTCTACTGTAAACAGATTTTGCACCGATGATTGGGTATTTTTTATACCAGGTGTAACAGAATTCACTCACCAGATGGTTTTTTTCCCTATGGTGTGATAGTTTTGGAGTATAATTTGCTGTCTTTTTTTTATTTATTTATTTTATTGTATTACATAAATATTTAACATATAATGTACACTCCAACTCGCCAATTTATAACAGCTACTCAAAATGGGCTTCATTAATCTCATTGCAATATGCGAGTTGTTTGTAAAAAGAACGTTTGACTTTCCCTAGTTGATCTGGTGTAATATTTGTCCATTTCTCAACTTTAATTTATTGCTGTTAATCCTTTGATGCTATATGATGATGTGCTATAGACCTTGATTTTTAGAAAACCCCAATAAGTAATGGAGGTAAGATCAAGAGAAGGTGGCAGCCATTCAAATAGCTATTGTTGTTGGCCAGTCCATCAACTGCAGAACATATCATTAAGATAATTCTGAAATTCACTACTATAATGAGGAAAAGCACTGTCCTGTTAGAAATAAATTTCACGTTTGGTATCTGGGTAAAAGTCATTCAAAGCAGGGCCAATTTCATCTTGAAGTATTTGTAAATACTTCAGTTAATCTAAACTCTCATAAAAAGAAAAAGCCCCAACGGTATGGTTGCTAGCTATTCCAGCCTGAACATTGTCTTTTTGGGGTTGTATTTGGCCCATTCTCATCACATGCCTATTCCACTGACTTGAATAGAGACAATTATTTCAGTTCATTATTTCCATTTATAAAGAAGGCTGCTTCATCAGAGGAGTAAAAGCATCTCACCAGAATTGTCATATTTTTGAATGAACATGATGAAACTTACACAAAACTTATCTCATTTCTTGAACTTATTCATCTTCATAAACCTGGCCACACTCATATGCAACATGCTCTCTTTATCAGCCACTTTGAATGTGGACAGCTGAGGATTTTTGTAGCACTACAGCAACATTTTGATGAATTTCATCATAACCACATCATTACCTTCATAAATGAAGTCAATCAGCCACACTACTGTTTTAAGAAATGTTTCAGATGATGTTAGTAAAAAACTTGATATCAGAGAAAGAAAGTTACTGATGATTTTGTATGTTGATCTTTCATTTTTGATGGAATTTTAGGTTACTTTAAGTTAGTGGTAATAGTTTGTTGAAATATATGCAAATATAATTGAAATATATTTTACATAATGTCTTTCATTCCATAACCATTTGTATTTAGTATGATAGGTTTTTTATTTTTTGGTTGCTATTTTACAGCTTAAGTGAGGCCATATAATCTTCACAAAAAGTTTCTAAATTAGTAGGTTAGAGAGTAGCAGGTTAAAAGTGACATGTGTTATTTGATATATCTTTTATATCAAAGTTCTATGCTTTTATGTGTTTGTCTAGCAACTTTTAAGTTTTTCTGCGATGTTGCTTTTTTCCATCTAAATTAACAGTGGAAGAAGGCCTTGAAAAATGCTTTCTCTACCGTCAAATATAATTGAGTATCTTTGGTCTATTTGTTATATTTTTCAGCTTTGAATTATGTATTGATAATTGGTGAAATCCAATTTTCTCTGTGTGCAAGGTAATTTTTAAAAATTGTAATATAAACAAGTTTTTTACTAATCAGTCATTCCCTGTTAATGCATTTGTAAATTAAAAAAAAACAACCTTATATGATCCTTGTTTACAAACTCAGCTTTGAGACATACAGTATAAAAGTTTAATACAGAGTAAATTAACTGAACAACAAAATACGTAAGAAAGACACATACATGTAATTAGAAAGATTTCATAACTAAAGGTCAAGTTTGAAAGGATTCTTATGGAAAGTTATGAAATATGCTAATTCAATTTTATATAATTTCACATTATTTATATTGTCTTGTTTTTTATTATTTTTTAATAAAGTATTGATTTTATAAGTTAAAGTTCTCTGTGTTATAGTTGATGGAATTTGAATGTTTTAATGCACAAAGGGTCAAAGCTTATTAGTGATTCATCCTAGACACACCTGCATCTATATAGATATTAATTAGTGGAACAGTAGATTGTGTTCATTGTACATACATTTTCCATAAATGACAGTGTAATTACCTTCATGTAACTCAAACTCCCTCCAATACCTATTGTTATGTTGGCACAAATGTTTCAGAACTATAGAATGTGCATGC